CCAAGGTACACGCGCCCCTCTCTCAGCATCGCGAGGGTTGCCGTCGTTCCGCTCGAGCGTGTATTTGAATCATGCAGCCAACTGTTGGAACGAATAGTGAGCAGCCGCGGGAGTCCAGAAGAATTCGAGCTCTGATACCTAAATGCTGAATGTGTGGTATTCAAACACGTAACATCTCGCAGGGTCACCAGCCTTGCCAGTCAACTGAAGCCCTCCCCAGGCAGCCTGGTCGAACTTATCTGAACACGGAGAGGCTGGTTTTCGAAGGGGTGGGCTAGGCGAGGCGACATTGCACGCTCCTCATGGGCTTTCCCTTGGCCCAGCACTAACTAGAAAGGAAAAATCCAACGCAAGATGAAAGCAGCCACATCTTCCCCAGAAGGCATAAAAAGTGCGAGTTTCAATGTTTTTCTCCCTGGGCACCTTTTCACTACCAGAAATGCCCTGTGAGAAACCAAGACGGCATCCTGGCGGCCCTGGACGGTCCGAAGGCCCTGAGTCGACCCGAAACCTGCTAAGTTGGCTTGAATACGACCCATGAAAGCTCCAAGACCATCCAAAAACCCGCCCTGGCGGCATTTCCAAGACGAACCCTGGACCCACAACCAGCCCAACGCAGATTCCCAAAAGGACAACAAGACACATGGTGGGGGCTGCATGAACCACAACTGCTCCCCCTGGGCAGCTTATCCGAAAACGTAAGAGGCAGGCGAAGGAGAAAAGAGGGGCGATGAATGGTGACAGCGGGGTCCCACCAGACAACGCGCCACAGGAGAAGCGAGGGGGGCAGGAAGAAATGGGAAGGGAGAGCGCGCAACTTCCCACCTCCACCCCCCAGTCCGGACCAGCCGAGCAGCTGGGCCGCGGAGGGGGGAAGCAAGCAGGAGTAGGCGGAGGAGAAGAATCGGGAGAGGAGTAATAAGCGGAAAAATAGGACAGAGAGGAGCACACGAACGAGGAAAGAAGGCAGGAGGAGGACGACGACGACAAGGAGGACCAGGAGAGGGAGGAGAACGGAAAGAATGATCAGACCGCTTGAGGCTTGCAACTGGCAGCAAAAACAACGAAGAGGGGGGAACAAACAAAAAACAAACTTAGCGAAAACATGTGTACCACGGCGACAACGCAGATCGTTGCGTTTGTCTTCCACCCATCGCCTTGGAGCGAGGGGGGGTGAAAGGGGAGCGGGCATAGGTACTTTCGACATATGCGCGCAACAGGCTACTCGGGACAAGTCCACGCAGCGCAGTCGTGCGAAAAAGAGCTGCTCACCTACACGGCCAGCGGCGCCCGCCCGCCCGCCGGCAAAAACGACGGCGCATAAGCAACGGCACAGCAGCTCTGGTCGCGCGGCCTCTCTGCAGCTGCGGGAGCCTGCGAGCACAAAGATGTTTGACGATGCCGTCCAACACCTCAGGCCCAGCTAGGAGGCAGCCTGATCCCGATCTCTGTGGCCGCCCTGGCCAGCCGATTCCATGATTGCCATTGCCTCCTCCTCATCATCCTCCCCCTCCTCCTACTCCTCCTCCTCCCTCTCCTCCTCCTCCTCCTACTCCTCCTCCTCCTCCTCCTCCTGCTCCTCGAACTTCTGAAACACCGCTCGCGGAGGCACAGGCAGTCCGCATCCCAGGACATTGCGCAGAGACAGCCGCAAGAGCACGTCTTCCGCTCACACGTCACATCGGAAACCGACCTAGTACACGAGTAGCAGACACGATGCCAATGCGAACTCCTCGCCCCTTCTAGGGGAGCGGAAAACTCCACCTGGACTGCGATTCCTCTGGAAACGCGAATGCCAGCCAGAATTCTCAGACTAGCTCCTGACTCCCTTCTGGTGGGAGAGCGGGAGGTCCCCAGGGAGTGCCTTCTGACTGGGAGCGCAAAAAGAGATTCAGACTCCAGGACTAACCTTTGTTTTCCCGACTACACACGAATGGCCGCCCGGAGTCCAGCGCTACTGCCTGACCCCTTCTGGGAAAGCGGGAAGCTTTCTTGGGCTGTGCCTTTGCAGGTAATGCGAACAGTCGCTCGGATTCCGACGTTGCCTCTTGACTCCCACATGGGAGAGCTGGAGGTACGATCTGACCATGTGTCAGAAAGCTCGCGAGTGGCCGCTCGGACTCAAACAATACCTGATGACCACTTCTGGGAAAACGAAATTACCTTGGATTGCTTACAACAGAAGTACGCAGACAGCCACTCGCAGTACAACGATGCCTGATCCCCTCTGGACGGTCTGGAGGTCTATATGGACTGTGCATTTTTCAGATGCGCAAATAGACGCTCGGAAGTCAACCCCACCCTGGGAGAGCGGGAGAGCTGTTGAAGCTCAAGGCTCCCTCACACTTGATTAAGGAATGGGCCTACCGCTCGAGATGTCATCCCAGTTCACTCGAGAACGGTAAGGCTGAGGGTGAGAGTGATAATGACCACAAGGGTGAGGCTGAGCGTGAGGGTGAAGATGACAGCGAGGCCGTCAGTGAGTAAGAAAATGAGGGTCTGGGTGAGACTGATGGTCACAGTGATGATGAGGAGGATGAGGGCGAGGGCTGACGGGGAGGAGTAAGGGAGATGAGAAGTAAGGGGAGGAAGGAGTGGTGGAGTTGGGGATGCCCAGAGAAAACAAGAACCCTACTCGAGATCCGAGGAGGCACTGGCGCATCTTTGATATGTGAAGCAAGTCGGTCGACGGATGCGGTAAAAACTAGCATTTCAGCCCAAGCGGCAAGCATACGTCAACCTGTCAGGACAAGACTACCTACGAAAGCTAAACATTTGAAGATCGGTGCAATCCCTCGGTCAAAAGACTTCCTGAATGGGAGCCATGATTCCTCATCGGAGACTAGCGACGGGTCAGAGCAAGAGAAGTGAGTCGAAGCGGAGAACGCGAGGAAGAAGACGGAGGAAGGGTGCAGCCAAGCAGGATGCAGCCAGAAATCCAGGAAGCCTGTAAAACAGAAAGCACAAGAAAGCCGGCTCCTGAGGGCAGTGTCGAACCGGCACTCGGTCTGAGAGTCCACGCAGAGCTGGTGCGTGGCCGGGAAGGCTGCCATCAGGGCCTTCGGGAGAACAAGAGAGGAGAGGAGGACAGGAGAAGAGAGGACGGGAGAGAAGGAGAGGAGAGGAGGGGAGAAGAGAGCAGAGCTGATGAGGCATCACCGATGATTACTACATTGATTTTACATCATCAATGTCATTCACCACGTCACGCACATCACCATTCCTCATGCTTCGCGAAAGTTCTTGCCTTCTCTGGCTCGTCGCAGAAGTTCGCGTGCTGTATGAAGCTCTTCGGCAAGTGCTGCTGGACAAAGTTCGCGATGTCGTGGCCATGTGGACCATGGCCATCGAAAATACCTAAAATGCTCACGCCGTCAACGACCTCGGCAATAACTGCATTATATGTGTATGAGTATACCTATATACTTATATATAAAGAGAGAGAGAGAGAGAGAGAGAGAGAGAGAGAGAGACAGAGAGAGAGAGACAAAAAAAAAAAAAGAGAACGACAGGCGCATCGCGAGGCAGGCAGCAAGAGTGGATCTCTGGGCATCAACCAACACCAACGCATCGGCCGACCCGGCTCGAGCTTTGCACATGGTAGGGATTTGCTCGCATGACCCAAGACGTCACATAAGTGGACCTCTGCGCACAGCGTAGAAGTAGACCGCAGCAACGAAATTGAAACATTGGAGATGCAAGAGCAGCACGGCTGCCCGGCAGCAAGCCTGAATAGTACTGGACACGCGTTCGATGGTACTGTCGTGTTTGCAAGACCTTCAGTCTGGTCAAATCGCAAACTGTCCGCCACTCTTCACCCACATCTAAATATCATTCTTGAGCCGCGGGCCAAAATACAGAAGTCGTCCTGGTTCGGCATCTCGGGTTTGAGGCCCTTCTTGCAGGCGTACCCAACCTTGGAGCCACCTTGGGCGGGAAAGGGAGGAAGGACAAAGAGGACAACGAACAGTGCGTCGATCGAATCTGCCTCATCCGATCGCCTCTCGAAGTTTGCCTCCTACATTCCATGGTCCTCCCCAACGCCCCAAACTATATTTGCGTTCTGCTGCTGTTCGTCCTCCTCCTCATCCTCAACCTCCACCTCCCCCATCCATAATTACTCAACATGATTACTACTCGTCGCTCTCCTCGGATCCTGTCCGAACGGGGCCCGCCTTCTCCCGCATACAGTTTTTTTGACGTGAAAGATGTAAAAAATGATTGACAATATGGTTTTCTCCAAGCGTGACCTTTTCTGGTGCCTCAAGACTGTGCTCCCGCTGCAGCGTTGCCTTCGCGTTGCTCCCCTCGCTCAAAATGGCACCCTCGCCCTGGCACAAGCTACAAATATGGATCCGAGTCCTCCGTCGGCGTTGTCACCCCACTCCTTTCCCCTCCTCCGCCTTCCACTGGTCCTCCTGTTCCTCCCGTTCTTCCTGCGCCTGCTCCAGCTGGCCTCCCTCGCCCTCCTCCGACCTCAGTATCATCCTCATCCTCATCCTCTTCCTTCTGCTCATCCTCTTTCTCAGCCGCCATATCCTCTTCTCCCTCCTTCAGCTATGACATCCGTCAGAAGGTATATAAATATCAGCCAGCGTCGACTCCAAATCTGTACGAGGACAGGACGAGGGCGAGAGGGGGATGGGAGGAGGGAGGACGAAAGGAGGACGGGAGGAGGACAGGAGGAGCAAAATCGTGCAAGCGCAAGCAAGCAAGCAAGCGGAAGCAAGTAAGCGCAAGCGAGCAATAACAAGCAAGCAAGAGCTAGCGATCAAGTGCAAGCAAGCAAGGGCAAGCAAGAGCAAGCAAGCGAGAGCAAGCACGCAAGGGGGGGTGCCATTGGATAAAGGGGGGGGGCAGGAGCGCTCAGAGATGGTGCATAGGCATAGGCACAGGCATAGGCGTAGGAATAGGAGTTAGGGGGAGACATAGGCATAGGCATAGGCATAGCCATAGGAATTAGGGGTGGCATAGGAATTAGGGGAGGAGCAACGAACCAATCAGTAGATAATAAGTTAGAACTCTTATAGGTCAAGTCTACGTGGAGAAAGTACATGCAATTGTGAGGGATGCGTGGGATTGGTAGGATGTTAGATATGGCGCGAGCGCATCTAGCTTGTCTAACCTCATCGCTCTTCTCCGCCTCCACTTCCCCCTCCTCCTCCTCATCCTCCTCCTCATTCCCCCCTCCCGCGCCCCTTCTCATCCTCCTTCGCCTCACCCTCACCCTTCTCTTCATGATCTTCCCTCCCCTTTCCCTCCTGCGCCTTCCCCCTTCCCCCCCTCACGGTGTTTACATGACCGACGTCGCGGCTTGCAAAACTGTTTTGGGAGCTGCGATGTTGGTCATGTACACCCCGTGAGGTCGATGAGAGCCCACGGCCCCAGCACGCACGGTGGCGGAATGGTCCGAGGGCCAGGAGACGATCATTACAATAGTGCTACAGCACCTCGAAACCATTAAAGTGACCAACTGGAGGAGGAGAGGAAGGAGTGGGAGAACCAATACTGGACTCGTGGCACGCCCACGGCACGAGACACATATCACTACAAAGAAAGAAACGTAACGAGGAGACTATCGCGACCGCGTGCAACGTCCATCGGTGCAATGCTGAATCCACTCCGCCCAGTCCTTTGCGCCATGGATAGCCACCAGAACTCTGAACGGCATGCAAGCGATTCACGTGAGACGTGTCTTGCCGCAGCTAGGCGGGAGACAAAGGCCGTCACCAGCCTTCTTCACCGCCTTGTCGATCTGAGTCTCGGAGGTACAGGGAAGCATTGGAATAATATCGGGCACGAAACAGCAAATTTAATATCAAGAGCCAACCATGAGACTGAGAAGAAGCAGACCACTGACAACCGGTGCCTGCTGAAAGTACGATCGCCTGGGAAGCTGGTCATTTCGCAGAAGCGGCACCAAAAAAACAAAGATCCAGCTAAAAGCATGGGCCCTACTTCCACAAGATATACGCGGAAATCCCACTGGCCCTTCAGGGCGAGTGGCCCGGAAGGTTTCAAAATCGTTAATTTCAGATAAGAGTCGGGCCATGTTCTGGCCTCCAGGGGAAAGGGCAAAAGGGTGCCCTACCCCTCCTTCTTGGATCGATCACCTCCAAAATGTCCCCAAAATGGCCCCCGAGGCTCCCAAGAGTACCCAAAAGGCGCCCGGGAGGTCACAAAAGGCCCCCAAGATGCCCCCATGACGCCCTCAATATGCCCCCAAGAGGCCCCCAAGAGGTTCCCAAGAGACCCCCAAGAAGCCCGATGAGGCTCCATCGAAGCACCCAAGGACGCTTCAGAAGGCCCACGGGATCGCAACGAGGCGCCCAAGACGCCCCAACAGTTTTTGATCCGCGGGTCGAGAGCGCACTTCTTCCGGTCGAAGCCAAACGACGCCCCAACAGGCCTACAAGAAGCTCTCAAGAGACATCCGAAGAGACCCCGAGAACCATCCCAGAGGCCTACTCCTCCTTGTCCTCATCCGCCTCCTCCTCCTTTGCTCTTCTCCCATTTTCCCACCTCCCCAACCCCGTCCTCCTCCTCATCGTCATCATCCTCATCATCATCATCATCATCATCATCATCACCATCATCATCATCATCATCATCATCATCATCATCGTCATCGTCATCATCATCATCATCATCTGCATCATCATCATCATCATCATCATCATCATCATCATCATCATCATCATCATCATCACCATCATCATCATCATCATAATCATCATCATCATCATCATCATCATCATCATCATCATTATCATCATCATCATCATCATCAGCATCATCATCATCATCAGTATCATCCTCATCCTGCTCTCCTCCTCCTCCTCCTCCTCCTCCTCCTCCTCATCCTATTCCTCCTCACTCTCCTCCTCCAATTCCTCATCCTCCTCCTGCTCCTCCTCCATCCTTCCCTTCCGGGAACACGACGGCTTCACAGCCTCTGTCCCACTGCATGCTCCCTCACATGCCCGATCACAGCACCTGGCCTGGCTGGATGAGCTGGTGGGGGTATTTTGTTGCTCGCGAGCGCGCAAGGGTGCCAGGCGCCGTCAAGAAACGCGGCTGACAAGCAACGGCCTAACTTCCGCGGCACGAGGGGGGAACGAAAAGAAGCGAACACGAAGCGAAAACAAGCGGAGGAAGAAGCGAAGAAAAAACACACAGGAGCGAGCTACGCTGCGGCTCAGGAGACGCGGTGGACCAGGAAGAACCACTAGTCGAGGTGCAGCACCAAAACGGCGAAATTAATGATGTCCACGTGCTCGATGACGGCCGTGACGAAAACGATGAGGACGTCGAGCAACGACATGCAGGCGCTCAACGGAGTAGGGCCTGGATCGCCAAACGCCGACAGGGGTCGGAGCGAGGGGCGCTTAGAATAGGAGCTGGTAAGCGGGCGTCGCGGTAAAGCTACCTAGCTGGAGCACTGACTGCACAGTGCGACAATGGTTTCCAAGACTGCGCCTCATGTTGCAAACAGAAGAATTTTGCGGCGGATGTCGGAAAAATATCTCAGTGTCGTGTTGTCGCGGTGTGGCGGTGGTGCCGTGATGCCGCAATGGTGTTATGATGTGACAAGGCGGTGGCGCGCGGCATCGTGAAGCATCGTCAGGTCATTGCGACGCCACGGTGAAAAAACGCCGACCCTGCCGGCGTGACTGTGGTGGGGGGAATTCAGGGTTCGTCGTCCTTGGGTGTTCCATCCGAGGGTCTCTCCCCAGACCTCTGTGGCGCGCCAAACTCGTTCACTCGAAGCGAATCGAGCCAGGTTACAATCGCACTTACTCAATCACAAAGCCATGCCGCACGACACATCGGCTCAACAGGTGAACATGCTCGCCGCGCAGGAAGGGCGGCAATCTGAGCTTACACCTGAGCATCTGTAGGGTCTACGGAAAATCCCTGCTGTTCAACAACTGATTTCCAAAATGGGCCGTCCAGTCGTGACGGAATCGACACAAGCCCCTTTCGTTTGATCCCTTCCCCACCCTGGGAGGGCTTTCCCAGGGTGTTCCGAGGGGGGTCCCGCGGGAGTCCCGCGGGGGGCCCTGGTGAGGGTCCCACGGGGGGGTCCCCGGTCAGAATACATTCCCCCGCCTTTCCCTTTTGGGGGGGCACGGATGGCACGGATGCTGAAGGCACTCTGCGCAGTGGCCCCACCTTCCTTCCTCCTCCTCCTCCTCCTCCTCCTCCTCCTCCTCCTCCTCCTCCTCCTCCTCCTCCTCCTCCTCCTCCAACCTCCTCCTCCTCCTCCTCCAACCTCCTCCTCCAACCTCCTCCTCCTCCAACCTCCAACCTCCTCCTCCTCCATCCTCCTCCTC